CCCCAAAACCCCAAAACCCCAAAACCCCAAAACCCCGTTCATTTTATTTAAAATTGAATATGGCTGATTTGTCAAAATGGCTGTTTGGGTGATGAATCACTAACAAATATGGCAAGGATGGAGGTATCCCAGTTATATAATTTCTAGGAGAATTTGAGACGAATATCATCACCACTAGTAATGGCACACACCTTCTTGTTTCATATTGTGTATATCTATTGTGAAGGAATATGTTTGAATCGTGCCTTTAAAGCAGATTTACATTCATACTCCAGTCTGGTTTTAAGCCCTATTTAGATAAAATTGAAGAGGATAAGCGTGAAAAGGGTAGAAATTATGAAAAAAATGTTGAAATAGGTACATTTTAATCAGGTTTAACCCTTCTTATACACATTTCTTGCCTTAATAATCTTCACTACTTGAGAGCATCCTTTAAGAAGTTAATTGTTTTGATCAGTACTAATAAAATTATGTTTAGAAAGACAATTTTATGAAGAAGCAAAGCATGAAACAAGTACTTAATACCTCATTTATTTAACTCCATAGCTCGTTTGGATGATATCAGGGAGAAAGTTATACAAAACTCAGAGTCAGCAGTCATGGATCATAATGATCATGTAATTCCATTCGAAGAAGCAGGACTTAACATGAACGCTATCCCAGATTCAGAAATAGATAAAGCTACTTCTTTGAGCCTTAAAATTATTGAAGGGCCTAGTACTGACCAAATATTCCAAATAAATGCATGTGGAATAGTTGGAATGCAAGGAAGAGGAAGAAAAGATGGCTGTGTTCTTGTCGGGAGTCAAGAATATGCCGACAACATAGATGAGCCTTATAACGACATTGTCTTTGAACCAGGTGAAAACTCAGAGATTGGAAAGCGACATTTCTTAATCAAATACATTCCTGACACCACATCTTACTACCTCAGAGATCTTGGTGACGGGAATGGAACTTTTGTCAGGCTAGACAACCCTCTTGTATTAAAAACCGGGTACATAATCTCATTCGGAGAATTTCATATGTTTATCCAAATTTTTGAAGGACATATAGAGATCAGTAGTAGAACCGAGAGCACTTCTAGTGAGCAGAAGAGTCAGCAGAACTTTACATTTAGTAAGGCACTTGTTCTAATACATATTGATATATTATAGAGACTCCTGTAGCTACTGAGGAAGGAAAAGATAACTTGTTGTTAAAGATAGGCAGGATGAACGACTGAGATGTCAAATTTCATAGCAAATGACTCTCCCGATGCCAGTGAATTATAGAGTACATAAACGAGAGTTGGATCCTTAAGGATGGAGATGGAAGCAAGGCAAGCACTAATGGAACCTGGCTTTTCGCTGATGAGCTTTACCCCATACATGATGGAATGGTTTTTAAAGCAGGTCAAATCTTATTTGAAACTAGCTTTATTTAAATCATTTTCAGCCTTTTTAGTGCTATCTGGGGTTTTGGGGTTTTGGGGTTTTGGGGTTTTGGGG